TCAGGGCTTGTAAAAGGCAGCATTTCCCTACCACCAGCTGCGTGCACAAGGGAAATGTGCTTAAATCCTCCTTCCCCCCAGCCTTTGGAGAGCACCCTCCTTCCTTGGTGCACAGCAGTGTGAGTCCCTCTCCGGGAAGTGGCTTTGGAATGGCTGCTGCATCTTGAGCCCTCTCCGACAGCTGTTGCTGAGTTATTTTTAGTGCCTTCTGCTGTCTCCTTTGTGTGTGCCTGTGCGTGTGTGTGTATGTGTATCTTGGCTCATCCACGTCTGAGGATCTCAGCTATGAAACAGTTGTCAGTGCTTACTCTAGGAATGTGGCCAGGACAGTATGTACAACTGGAACAAGTTAAAAAGAAGGGAAAATATCCCCAAAAAAATTAGTTGGAAAAGCTTGCTCTATAATTTTATTGCGAGAGCACGGGGCCCGGAGATGTCCTGATTCTAGTTCAGCAAAATCCGAGCATAAAACCCGCTTGAATGTAGAAGATGAACACACTGAGCTCCAGAGCACTCCCACCTTCCTTTTAATGCATAAGGAGGGAAAAACATCAAAGCAACCTTAGAGGACAGATGCCAAAGGAGAGAGTTGAGTTCAGAAGAGCTGGAGTCAGTGTCCTCTGCCTTTTTTTGTGTTCTTAGCCACGTGCATTTGGGCTCATGCCTTATTCATGTCAAAGCATGCACAGAAGTTAGAAACCTCAATAACTTTATGGATCTGGACTTTTGTACATTTATGTGTCAGCTTCCATATCTGCAAAAAGCATTTCAGGTACTCCCCTGTTTCTGAGGGGCTATTGGGAGGACACACAGACTAACGACTAACAGAAGCTCTGCTAATTCCTGCCAGGTAAATACCAGGTTTGTCAGAAAGATGAATCAACACCTCGGGTAATAGAATTTTTGCCCAAACTGTAGAAAGGAGTGAAACCAAGGAAGGGTAGACAGACAATCTGTAGAGACAGACAATCCTCTCTTCGAAAGGGAAGAGAGGATAGGTTTAATACTGAGATTAAAGGTGCTGGGATTCAAATTGTGTTCAGCCACACAGATTTCTAGGAGATTACACTGATATAACTGGAAACAGTGTTGGGCCCCTGTCTGCTAATGAAATTTGAGTAAGACGTACTGTGAAAGAGCAGCACTGCTCCATGGGGAACAGTGTCTGTGGAGGATTTCAACCACAATCAACAGGCTGCTCAGCAAACAGTGCAGGGAGCAATTCTGCGTTGTCCCTTCCCCATTCAGATCTGTGGTTCTTGCTTTGGCTTGGTGAGAGAAAGCAAAGCAACCAGATGATAAAGCCGTTTGACCCTTGCAGAACCAAGTGCAGCAGTGCAGAAAGCACTCACACCTTCTGGGTTAGTTCCCAGTTAGGACACTGGCTTCCCTCAGGACTTGCTTTAGTCTAAGCGGTTTCACGGCCTCTTCCAGCCAGCACAGACTAGCCGTACCACGGAGAGAGGCAGTCCTGCCGCCCCCCTTGCCTTCTCTCCATTTTTAACTTTTTCCAGCACCCTTGTCATCCCTCCCTAGTGCTGGCTCAGGGGGTCGCACAGCTGCAGAGGGCACTGCTCTGTGTCCAAGCTAGCCGGGTTTTTAGCTAGTTAAAGCCATTTCACGATGCGGGCACACAAACACAGCGAACTCTTGACGGCAGTGCTAGCTTGTGCTGGCTGAAAAGGTTCATGAAACAATGGTCCAAGGCATCCCTGAACTGTCCTCTGGAGGTGACTGCCTCTCCCACTTAAGTATTTAAGAAGTTTGGGCTCCTGGCTTTGGCTGGTTGTGTTGACTGCCTAACGTAGCTTGCTTGGGCAGCTGTTTTACTGGGAATGGCTTTGTAGGGGAGACAGGAAAGGTTAGATGGCTCAGACAAACTGATACAGGTCATGATGATTGAGTAAGAGATCAGGGAACTAATGTCTCTAGCTGGTTGTGTTTGATTTGACCAGTGAGCTGGAGAATGGCACTGCCCTAGCAGCCCCAGAGGATGTGTTTCTGTAACATGCCAACTGCTTAGCTGGGAGGCTGATTTTGCTTGCTGCTCTAGGGAAAATGGCCTTCCAAAGTCTTGGGCAATTGGCTTCCTAGGGTGTTCTGTTCAGAAACGTATGCTTAGTGGCTTGAAAAAGAGCTTCCTACTGATATTACAATGCTGACCTCTTGAGGCATCACTGCAGCTGCAGATGTTGGTAGTAGCATCAGCAGAAAAGCCAAAGGTCCTGCTGGCTGCCATGTCACCTCGGAGTCAGACTCAAGGCAGGGTGCTGTGCATGTGTTTCTCTTGGTGGCTGTACTGTGCCTGGATGAATATTGCGTCTTGCTTTAGGGGACTGTCATTTCCCTCTCCTAACAATCATGGCAGTGTATAGGTCCGCTGAATTCTTGCACTCGTCTTTTCTAACAGCAATTCAGTAGTCTGATTCTCAGTTGTACTAATGCTACTTTACATATCTAAGGGATAAGGGTCCCCAGCCTCAGGCATCCTAGACCCAAAATTTCAGTTCGTGCAGGAGGAAGATACCTGATGAGAAATGTCTGTGACTCCTCCCTATGTTCCAAAAGCAAAATGCGCCGCCTTTCCCTATTGACTCTAGGAGTCCTGCACTTGTCGGCTGTGCTAAGAATTTAAAAGCATCAGCTATTACCTCCAGTACTTGTAAAAGTACAGTGTTTAGGGTAATTGGCTCTTTACCAAACACAAGCAGGGCAGAGATGCAGGGTCTCAGAGGTATTTAGTTCTCCAAGTACTGCCGGACTCGGTGAAACTGAGGCACTTGGACACCTTTGCAGTGTTAGCTTGCACTTCCTACCCCCGAGTGAAAATGAAATGTTACTGCTGAAAAATTCCTTGTACCTGAGATCCTGAGGGAGTGAGGGGTCTTCCCCTCACTGTGTAAACACTTCAATATCCCAGAGCACTTCCCTCCAGTAAATGTTATGGTCTGTCCCATTATTTGTTCTGTTCTGTTCTATCACTCCCCTACCTGCCAGGAGCCTTTGCCTCAACACAGAACGAGCCGACATTCTGCGGAAACTCCCCTACCCATTCTCTGGCAAGTGCGGTCTTTGCAGCGTGGGGCACAGCTGAACTGTCTGCAGGATGCTGTATCACATCGCCTCATCAGGCGAGCTTCCATGCGCTGGTTAGAGGTGCATGATCCATGACAGGGAACAGGTTTCCAGCTACCTCTGCGAGACCTCTGAGCAGCGGGTGGCAGACGGGGATGCCAGG